TGACAGCATTTTGCATATAGCCAAAATATCCCCAAAACTCTATCACCCTGCACTTATTTCAGTCCTCTCTCTGCCTAAAGGCACTAATAGGTGACTTTCCTGGGAAAGATAGCAAGGAATTGCCTCCTTATCTTACAGCTGATGTTAACACTGCCATGTGCCAGCTCAGTATCTGGGAACACTGATGAGATCAAGAGTGATGCCCAAGGCAGGAGGGCAGCTGGTGGCTACACCCCAAAGTATTCTTTTCATTGTAATTTGATTATCACAGACAGGGAAACTTAATGTCTAGGATGCCTATGAAAAGACTGTTAAATACACAGGCCACTCGCTCAGAAAAATAAAAATCAAATTTTAAAAATGCTTTTGATTAAGAAGAAAATAGAAAATAGAACCACTTCTACCTAGTAGCACCAGGTCAGGACAATTACTAACACAAGCCAGAGAACCACATGTCCTTGTAAAACCAGGGCATGATGGATGGCCCTTGCAGCTGGTTAGGAAAAAGTGAGTGGTGAGTCAAAGTGACCCTTCCTTGTTTTTACATGTTTGGGCTGCTTTCCCTCCCTCAAAAAAACAAGAGACAGCCACCAGGAACCAGTGTATTGGGGTGTTCTGAGCCAGCAAGGCACAAAGGGAATGGTCTGCTTTTTAGGGCATGGTGACCCCTTGGAATGAGCAGGAGTAACAACACACTTCTTTTATAGACTCTGCATTTGGATGGAAATCACACGCCTCTATTATTATGTAACTTCAGGAATGTAAGGTGGCGTCTCCCTGTTTAGGGCCATCTCACTCCCCCTAAGATTGCATCTATCCTCTGTTTTGTTTTCTCATACACTTACTCTTCGTCACCCCCCAGCTCCACTTAGAGTGCTTTCTTCCCTCATTTAAGGAGGAATTGTTCCTTTCTAGATTTATGCTTAAAAAATCAGCACATGTCATTTGCCTTGATTGTTTTGCTCCATTAATATGTCACAATGCCCAGAGCAAAGGTGAGCATAAGAATTAGTAATTTTGGACTCTTTGGGAAGGTGTGAAGATGTAAATTGTCTCCTCAGAGGTCTGTGATTTTTAGCTGTATCCAGCCCAGGCAGGCTGGGTCAGTGTGTGCTTCTGCTTCAGGGATCTGTTCCAGGAACAAAAGAGGGTGATATGTTTAAAGGAAAGGGGACAGGAACAGGGGGAACTCGCTGCCTTCCATGTACAGGGGACATTCAAGTCGTGTCCTGTGTCTCCCACCCGGGTGTGCAGGTTGGGGCAGCTCCACCAGAACAGGCTCTGCTCTCATCTCACACGTTCCCTGCTGATCTGACTCCTCCAGCAGACAGACAGGGTTGTTTGTGTTGAAGCTGACAGCTCCCTGAAGGGACTGAAGAAAGGTGCTGAGGTGACTTTAGTAGAATAAAGGGTGGGAAGGGGGGCAAGAAGTGTCTGAACTGCCAGCTTCCCACAGGAAACACTGGATAAAAGACAATGAGCAGCAGGGAGAAGGTGAAGTTCTGTTTTTCCTCGTGTCTTTATGTTACTGAATCTGTGGCTGCCACCACTCACAACATCTCCTTCAGAAAGGCACTTGGACAAAGAGGATCCTGCTCCCTGGAGAGTGGAACTGCTGCTGGTGACTGACAGGTTTGCTCAGTCTCCAAACACACCAGGCTGGAGGATCTGAGTGCCGGGGAGGTGAGAGCTACAAACAGTGCAGAATATTCTGTTCCTCAGGGCTGGTGGTTGGTTGGTGAAAAATGCAAAAGACTGCATTTGACAGAATCTTGCCTTACCCCAAACTTAGGAACAAGTGCTGTCAAAAAAGTGGCTGTTGCCCAGATTAAGTTTATTAAAGCCACGTGAAGAAATAAAACCAAAGGAGAGGATCCAAGGTCACCCTGTACTGTTCCCTTTCAGCTCGAGGAAAGCACCAGGCCACGTTAATGTCTGCTACAGGCACATGTGTTCTCTTTGAAATAAATGCACCCACTTCTGCTCTGCCTGCATTAAGTCTGTTACTGGGTTTTTATGAGCCTTGGCAAGTGCAGTGCTATCTGTTAATATCTGAAGGTGGGAGTGTTCAGGGAGTTGTCGGAAAGGCTTGCAAGACTAGATCTGATCATACCCACCCACACTAATTAACACATTACATAAAAGTACAACAAGTTTCTCTTTGCAAACATCAGAATCACTTGCCCAGACACTTTCTGTACAGTTCTGGGAGAACTAGAGGGAAGGACTCTGTTGCTTTTTAACCTCAACAGAACAATGGATGAGTGGGTAGGGTGAAGTTCCCACTCTCAGGGCTCACTCCTTTTTATCATCCTGCTAAAAACATGCCATCAGCAGGAATATGGCTGGAAGGACCTTTTTAAAGTTCACCAGTGGTGCATGAGGCTGCATTTTTTTCCTCATCAAAAACCACAATATGAAATATTGAACATGAGGGATCAGATTCCCTTACAAAGGACTCCTCCTCTCCCTGCTCTGCCTCGCTAATTCTGAAAATTACTTTGTATAAACACCACCCTCTGAAACCACCTGGAACTGAAAAATCCTCCCATTTAAATAGGAGGGGAACATGTCCCAAAACAGCTCCCATTTCTCTAGCATTCAAATATTACACCAGCAGCAATCTGCTGTATAAAGGTGATAGGAAGGACCCTTTTATTTCTTCATAGTTTGGAGCAAGTCAAACTAATTTCCTATGAAACTGCTGTGACCTTCTCCTACAGCTTCACCCAGATAATAAACGTACACCCCGATCCCGATTTACTCCAGACTCTTGGATGACATCTGGCCTCAAGATGGTGGCATGGAAAAGTGCAGCAATGACACAGGAAAACAGAAGGGAAGAAAATAACTGTGCAGTGGAGAGCAGGAGGCAGTGCAGGGAGAGGGGAAAACCAAAATTAAAATAAGTCAAAGGGCGGAAATTCCTTCGAGAAGGCCTTAGGCTTCAACAAAGCTTGTCCACATTTGCAGCACTTCAGGATTACCCAACACTAACCTTATGTGGAAGGGACAGCAGAGCCCAGCAGGCATTCCAAAGGAGCCTTTCTATTAAAAAAACCTCTTCCAGTGAGTGCATCCATCCCCGTTTGCCAGCGAGAGTTTCCTACCTCGCAACACTCCCAAGGGAAGGAACTTTCTTCCCCAGCTCTTCCTGACTATCTGAAAAGCAAAGTCAATGTTTTCCTCATTATTCCCTGTTTGCTGCATACCTCTCCCCCACTGTGACTGCTATTTGACCCGCTGGCCGCTCCGGGACCCTGAGGGGAGAGAGAGGGAAGTTTGTGTGTGTGGGGATGAGAGGAGAGAGATGATGAGTCTCAGCTCCCTTCTGACTTGTTTATGTTCATTAGAAAGAAATCAACAGCACTGAGTGTGTCAGACAGACCCCGAAGATTGGGAACATCTTTTGTGTGGTGCAGGGAAAGAGCAGATCCATCCAAGGGACAGGACTCGAGGGTGAACGGGGATTTCAGTGTGTGTTTTTACCTCACTTGTGCATTAGAAATTTACCAATGAACAGAATCTCAGCAGAGAGGTTTCATTGCAGGGGGGCACTGCTCTTTCACCAGGGCTATTTGCTCTTACAGCCACAAGCCTGGAACGCCTGACCGGGATTACTGAGGAACTGGAAAGGATCAGAGTGCACCAGGGGAGGTTGGAACCATCATCCCCTCCCCTCCCAAGCCTCTCTGGATAAATCTGGTGCCTTCAGATCCCAGAAGGGTTCTCCCCTCATGGCACTTGTGTTTTCAGTGAACTGAGTTCCTTCTCAAAAAACTGACAAAAATACAGCTGAAAGCATCTATTGAGGTGGGCCTCAAAACCACAAAGCTTCTTTTCATCCTCTCCAGCGAGCCTCAGACATCCAGGAATTCCAAAGAAAACTGCAATGTAAGAAACCTGTTCAGAGCTGGCACAGTGCTACAGCTCTGCACTGACCCAGGCAGAGTGACCTGCACCAGTGGCAGCATCTTCCTCTAGAACTGCTCCAGAAGAGAGAAATCTGCTGGTCTGCAGCAAGGTCAGACCTTCTGATTTCAACATTCCCACCTTGGCACCTCAGCACTCACTCTCCATTCTACATGGCAGGACCAAAGGAATATTTCAAATACAGCTCACAGCTTTTCTGCCATAACTCAGATCTCTTTTAGGAAATTATGTATTTTGGCATATGGGTTTTTTTCTTGTCTAAATTTTTGTATAGAACCTCTTGGTTCATGAACAAATACTGCTTTTCCTTTCTGTAGCATGCTGCATTTGAATTTGCTGAGCTTTTGACAGACATTTAGGTAGTAAACCTTTCAACTTTTGAGGTAGGGAAACACTAGAAATATCTGCTTTGCAGGTCAGGGTGCTCCTTCAGATGATGCATTTTGCCTCAGGTCACACAGGACATCTATGGAAAAGCTCGAAATTCGAGTCAGGAGCCCTAAATTCACTCCTTTAATCACATGTCCTTCCTTGAGGCGCTTCATTGAGGTGTCTCCAGTTAGGCTTGCTATTTTCCTGCACTGCAATTCCATTAATTCCTCTGTTAGCAGTGTTCCAGTATGTTCTCACCAGGTTCCTATGCCTAGTGCTGCATCTGGCACAGGAATGTTGCCCTTCCGAGGCTGTCACAGAGAATATATCATTACAAAAATAAATAGTGTCTGGCTGCTCTGGCATCTCAGTCCAAGCATATTTATCACTTTTGGCTGATCAGTGCCTGATTCAATGCCCCTAAAACACAATGGGTAAATTCCCAGTTGAATTCAACGTGCATTTAATCAGGTCTTTGCTAACTGTGCTTCCAAACTTCACATTTCATGAGCTCTACAGTACAGTCTCTTCTATTTTTAGAGCATTATTCCACCTCACTGTGCAGACTGATACAATGGATTTTCCTCTGCATGGATTATGTCAGTGAATGTGTGTTTGTACAAGCAGGCTCTAGTTTTAGTTCTAGATTTAGTTCATCCCCATGTGCTGCTGCCTACATGTGTGGCAACCTGAGATTAATGCTAAAAATGTATTTATGGTCAATCATAAATGAACAAAAAAATTCAGAATGACAAATTTCATATATGAGTTCAGTGACAGAAAGAATCTTCCACTATTTGAACTGCTCTGCTGCCTGAGCCTTCCTGTCCACCCTCCACAGGTGAAGTACAACAAGTTTTTTTGGGCCCAGCTCAGTCCCTCCAGACAGAAGTCCTGGGTGGCCTTTAGCAAAGACAACACTGCTCCAAGGTTTGCTCCTTCCCCAGTGTATGCTGGGAACAGCTTCATCATGGAATGGAAAGTGAAGCAAGGGATGGAAAGCAAAGGAAGGCAGAGAAACTTCCATTAAATGTCCGTAACTTTTAGTTCCTCAAAGTACTTTTTCAGTTCCCCCTTCAAAAAGCAGAAATGAAACCAGTGGCACTTCCTCTGAAGAGAGGGGACAAAGTGTGTTTGGGATGGGAAGTGCTGCCTCTCCACTGGGGCAGCCCACGGACACTTCAGAAACAAAAATTACATCTTAAAAACTATGAGTAGATTTAACCAATCGAACTCTAAAGAATTAAACATCATAGAAACATTTCACACGTTTTGTTTTTTTCTTTCCAAGGGTCCACAGTCCAGTCACTCAATCCTGTGCAAAGGTCACGTTACTATGGATATGACCTGCAAGAAATGCGTTGCCTCAGAGCAGCACAAGTCACATGAACAGGCTAAAAGCCAAGGCTGCTGATTCCCAGTCCTGTCAGGGGTTTCATGCTCAGTGTGGGGCTCACTGAGGAACAGTCCCTGTGCCATCAGCTCTATGTTCTTCCTTTAAAAGTGTTCATGCAGGTGTAGCTCCCGGAAAACTTGTGGATTTCTTCAAGTGCCGCCTGAGGGAGGATGCTGGAAGAGAAGCAGGAAAAGAACAAACAGATGAGACAAACCCCTCAGTCTGCCCTAATGAGAGATGTGTAAATATGCATTTACATATATAAATATACACATTCTCAAACATCAGCACACAGACAGAACAGGCCTCAGTGTCCTGCTGGGAGGAGGCCTAAAGGGAGAAAGTTCCATCCAGTTACTCTTTCTTTGCAGAAATATTTATCCAAAGAAGTCTGTAAAAGCTGTAACTTGGAAGATACCATCGTGTTTTATTCCTCTCAAATACTGTTCTCTGAAATACACAAATTTAACCTGAGTTCTCTGGTTAACTTGCCATCTGGTTGTGCAAAACATGTGGCCTCCTTATCCTAAGGTATGGACAGAGATCTAATTTCCTGACAGCTACTGGAATGGAAAATGAATGATTAATTCTTACAGTAAAGGAGAACAGCCCTTTTTCTTGTTTGCAGAATTTCTGGGAATTTTTATCCCAAGTTCTTCATTCAGAATAAAGCATTTATTGTGAATTATTTTTTCTTGTTTGAAATGCAATACTGGAATTATTTTCCACAGAAATCCCATGGCCTTGTTTCAGTTCCTGACTGAAGCAGCTTTTCCAAAGGCTTTAGTGCAAACTCTCATGGAAACACAGCGCTAAATGTCCTTTCTCTTTGGTTGTTTCAGGATATGAAGTTATGACTTTTTTTTCCTTTGGGATCTTAAAATTCCCGTCCTAATCACACACAAAAATATTGGTTTAATAGTTTCATTGCTGCAACACAAGCAATGGTCTCTACATACAGCTGTGATGTACAGACCTTATGGCACAGAAATCCTGTACAATATGAAGCCCAGAGTCCAATGAGTCACTTACTAAATCAAAACTAACCACATGTGTATGTTAGGAAATTTCTGAGACACAAATCCAGCTCAGACCTCAGAAATCCAAATTTTGGGAGTGAAACTTGTTTCATAAAGGGATTATACCCAGGGAAAGCATCTCCAAAGGGAATCTTAGAAAGTGTCTCCCTTTTGCTTCTGTCCCTCTGTCTGTCAAGGGAAGGGATGATCCATCTGATCTGGGATGGCACTTACAGACAGCCTGAGCTTTGCCTCGGTGGACAGACAAAAGGAAACCTTCCCTGCCTGGCCAGGCTGTTGCTGGGCAAAGGAAATACTCACCTTTTTAGGATGACAAGAACATGCATTGTCCATGGAAGGAGCAGGAAGGCTTGGTTTGTCTGAACAGCTTCTACTGTCCTCCTCGCCACAGTCTCTGGCTTGAGGGGAGGAAAAAGACTGGGGAACCTGAATAAATAAAGTAAAAATTACAATAATTACTTGTTAATCAAACTCCTCCTTTAAGATATCACTGTCCAAGTCCTGTTACTCCAAACTATCTCTTGTTACTGGCCTTCAAACACGTCCCAAGCAGGCTGGAAAAGGCAGAACGTTCCAGTTCCAGCCCAAAAGCCTGAAAACAGAAAGCCCAGTTCCAACCAGTACTACTGGGTTACCTAAACAGTTAAGAATGTACATGTTGGTGCCTTCAGGGAGAGTGGCAGAATGTATTCAGAGCCTTGATTCAGGGCTTTTCTTAATTTGAATGCAAACCAATACCAAATGCTGTCTTTTCAGTGCTGGTGTTTTTCCTTTTGTTGCCCTTTGCTTAATTCAAATTCTTGACAGGTGAAAGACAAATATTTTCCTCCATTGCTTTCAATACCAAACATAAGGCTTTTCCCAGTTCCAGCAATAGCTTTACACTGCATATTTTCTTGACTAAGAGAGCACAAACTATATTGATAGGTTATTTTGGCTGTTGTAAAAGATTAATTTGGTCAGCCATTAGTTGTTCTCTTGAATAGAGGGAAAAAGGAGGCACTGATGGCCTCACTTCAGTAAGTGGCTGTCATTACTTTCAGTGGGAAAGAATTATTTCAAGGAATAAAGAAGGAACTTGTACTGTTAATTCTCAAGTAATTTGTAGACTGCTCCTCTTGCATGACCTCAATTGCAGATTCCCTCCCCTCCCTCTTTGGGGGCTGCACAGGGAAAAACAGCTTTATTTCTCCCTGCAGAATCCAATGTCTCCCTCAGAACAGGCTGGAGGATTATTCCAGCACACTGAGGGAACCAGTCTGATGAGTCCCAGGTGGCCTAGAGTGACCCTCTGTTCCCAGGCAGCCAAATGAGACATCGAATTCTCTTAACTAAATGAAGCATTAATTAGGAGTGTATTCTGATGATTCATTTAAAATGAGATGCTTTATTCTAGTTCCCCTGGACTGACCTGATTCTCATGCCCTGGAACATCTCTGTGCTGGTGTGGAAGGGCAGCACTGTTGTGGCATTCACTCCAGGACAGTCCAGCAGCCCCAGGGTCAGGCTCTCCATAAAGGCAAAGGAGGAGGCTTTGGAGGTGCAATAGTCAATGGCACCAGGGATGGCTGACAAGGCCAGGACAGAGTTCAGGCAGACAATGTGTCCATTCTGCAGCTCCAGCATCCTTGGCAGGAATGCCTTGGTGGTCTGGAGAACAACAGAGTTAAAAGAAAAAAAAAAAAAGAAAAAAAAGGTCTGTTCAGCAGAGATACAACAAAACAATAGTTACTGAAAAAGATAAGATGACACGGAGACAAAGCCAAAGTGTTCTGTTCATTATGCTGGGAAAGGAGTGGGACAGGACCTTGTTGCTTTGTCATTTTCTGAGAGACTCTAAGCAGGCAAAGTTTGTGTGGAAACACAAAAAATCTTTCCTAGCATGTAAATAAGCAGCACCCACAGATAAGGGCCAGGAACAAGTGCTTACAAACTTGTACAGGATAAAGTCTTCAGCAAAGTGATGAAACCACAAGAAGCTCTTTTTTTTATTTCTATTGCCCAATTCAAAATAGAAAGAGCTCCCTGAGCAATGTAGTCCCATACTCCTCTGAAGTTCTCTATACAGCACCATAAAGAAAACCATCCTGTGAGCTCAGGCTTTCTCAAAAGACATCATATATTTTACTGGAAATCACAGAATGGGAATAAAGAGCATCACATACTGAATTACTACTGGAAAAATCATATTTATTTTAGACCCTGTTCCTCTGGCCTTTGCCCCTCACATTGTTTTTTCCCTCTTGTTTTCATGAGACTGATTTTAGGAAGACCTCAGAGCAGCCATTTCTGGCTGTAATCTGTCACTCTCTTCCCAGTTCTGAGTACAGGGGATACAAGAGCTGCTCTTACCCAGAACTGTCCCAGGGTGTTGATGTGCTGGGATTTGAGCAGTGCATCATCATCACTGTCCATCAAGCTCTTCCCATGGACCACAGCAGCATTGTTCACCAGGATGGTGATGTCACCCACCTGCAGGAAGAGCAAATTGCTTGTGACAAGGAACATCTCTCCTCACAAATCAGCCATTAGAGTGACCATTAGAGCTGAATAGCCATTGTCGCCTGAATACATTGTTGTTTTCACAGTTTTTGACATTCCTGCCTTGTAAGCCTTTGGATCACTTCAAACAGGTGGCTAGACTTTGTACAACCATCTGGATGGTCACCCTTCTTTCTTCCCCAATATTTTTTCCCCTCATCAAATACAGACTAATAGAATCACAGAATCATTGAGGATGGAAAAGACCTTTTGGATCATCAAGTCCAACAAGCAACCCAGCACCACCACCCTGCTCACCATTAAACCACGTCCTCAAGTGCCACATCCACATGTTTTTGAGCACTCCCAGGGATGGTGCCTCCACCACTTCCCTGGGCAGCCTCTACCAGGGCTTTACAACCCTAACCCTTCCATGTAGGAGTTTTCCCCCATATCCAACCTAAACCTCCCCTGGTGCAACCTGAGGCCATTTCTTCTCATCCTGTCACTGCTCCCAAGGAGCAGAGCCCTCCCTGGGAGCAGAGCCCTCCCTGGTTCCCCCCTCCTGTCAGGGAGTTGCAGAGAGCGAGAAGGTCCCCCCTGAGCCTCCTTTTCTCCAGGCTGAGCCCCCTCCAGCTCCCTCAGCTGCTCCTTTCCCATCCTGCCCACAGGGTTTCCCCACTGACCTTCTCCCTGACGGCCTTGGCCTGCCGATAGACCTCCTCCCTGTTCCCCACGTCACAGATGAAATAGTGGCACTCTGTGCCCATCAGCCTGATCTCCTCCGTGGTCTCCTTCAGGCACTTCTCAGTCCGACCCCACAGGATGATCTGCAGCAAGAAACTTTCATTGTTAGAGTCAAACTGCTTCTGCTTCAAATCCGGAATAATTAAAACCTGCTTCTGACTTCAACAGTTCGATGAAAATCTTTGATGTGTTTTCACTGCAGTTTTGCTTCATTTAAGACTAGCAATGATTTTCTGTTCCATGGGGAAGGGACATGAGTGTCTCAGTGGTTCCTGATCCTCTTTTTACAGGTTCTTCACAAGCTACACGAGCTAACACAAAAAACCAGATCTCTAGCCTAAAATGACCAATATATGAAACGCTTGGCAAATTTTCTGTATCATGTAATTTCAAATCTGTCCCTGCTTTTGCTATGCACACATACAGAAATATAAATTTAGTCCAAAATCACAGACCTTCCTGTATATCTGGTGTGTTCTCTATTTTTGTACGTTTGGTGCAGTAAAACGTATTTTTTCAGCCTATTATATGTAATAACTTGCAGTGCTGATTTCAGGTTGGTGTCCCAGGTGCATTTTAAACTAAAGTGTTCATCCTAATAGACACTTTTAAAGGGAGAATTCTCAAGCATGAATTTATTTTGCTCATATATGCAAGGTTTCACCTGACACTCCCTTTTAACACAGCAAAAATGACACCCTGCCTCTGGTACAAAGGAAATCCTGAATATTCATGGAACAAACATTCAAATCATAGAGCATGGATTTGATGTATAAGGAGACATAACCAGCCCACCCCATCTGCATTTCTACACCATCAGGGAGGTCAGAAATAGAAATAACTTGAAAAGTCATTAAAAACCATGGGGTTTTATATCCAGTCTCATTTTTCCTAGTGAGACATCAGTCTCAAGTATGAGATGGTGCTTCCACCACTGTCTTTCAAACATTAACCTGCAGTAAACAGATTCAACCACAATACTTTTTTTCTATTTCTTTTAAGGCTACTGGAAGGCATATAATTTCATCTCTCTGTTATCTAAGACTCCTATATATTAATAAATCTATCATTTTTGCTCTTCAACTAAGTCTTCCAAGCTTTCATCACATTATGAATGGTGTCATTGTCATTCTGCAAAAATTAAATTAGTGAATTGAGTATGTTCCTCAGCTGATTGCTCTGTGACTCCAACAGCAAGATCCAAAAGAGAAAAAAGAAAAGGTTGTTACATTGCAAATGCAAAATTATTGCTGTTTCCAAGCATATGTGATCCAGTTGATTCTCACACTGTTCTGTATTGAATATGAACCTGATATATTGATTTTTAATGGTTAAAAATAACCCCACTTAAACTTTAAGGATTAAATAATATTTTGAGTTTCCTGAAAGTTGAAAGAACAGGAAGCAAAAAGTCTAAATTACATCACTACTCATAACTCAACCCCTGCAATTAACTTAATAACAGCAAGATAAAGAGAAAAAATTAGTTATTATGTATGCAGTATTCCTTCCCCACAACAAACCCCTTGCAGAGCTTAACATGCTTATTTTTAAGGACTAGTTAAGCTTATCTCATAACTGGTACTAAAACTAATCTCTGGCAGGGTCAAAGAGCTCCTCCTGTGTCTAAGCAAGGCTAAAATTCAGAGGTACCCAAGTCCTCAGCCATTTCCTAAACGAGTTACAGTTACAATTAATCCCATTTCTAAGCCATTGGCACATCTGTGAACACAAACACACCCGGACTGACGGATTTATATCCCACAAACTCTCCAACTGGCTGGTTAACCAGCAACTTCAGAGCGTGCATAAATATGCCAGAGCCATTTCGTGGGAAATCTTATCTCAGGGGAAGTAATTTTCAAGGAAAAAGCTGTGATCAGACTCACAAACCCAAGGAAAGCACATGGCTGAAACTGCAGCTTCGAAAGCCTCAGTGTATCACCCTTGGCCATCAGGGCTTGGCATCTACACAAAGCTTGTAAAACTCATGGCTATTTACTCACTTCTGAACTCAGGGCTAGACTGAGGGATATTTTTTTATGCACACTCTGCAGACTTGCAGAAGGGAAATCAAGAGCATGTGAGAAATTTCACAAGCTTTCAGGAAATCTTTACAAAATCCTGTTCAACTATCAGCACGGGGGCACTTGCTGCCTCTTTCACAATCTGCAGCTCTGTGGAAAGGGGAGAAAAAACCACTACAGAGGTCAACTGTAAACACCAAGTTTGATGCCCACAGGGTTTGTATCAGGGTGAACTTCAGCCTCTTTGCAGGGTTGGATCAGTCAGTGCAGACACTAAAAAATTAAGTGATTCATTGAAGAGTGATGGAAGGGAAAAAGAAAAGGGGAAGAGAAATAAGGTGTCAGATGAGGGGAGTAAGGCAAGAAACTGCCCTCACATCCCCAGCACTCCAGGGCTTCACACTGCTATTGCAAAATAAAAAGTAGGTCCCTTGCTCTTCTCTTTAATCTGTTTCAAACATCCTCACGGCCTCCTACTCCCAAGAGCTGCCACTGATGCATTGGATGTCAGGAAATGTACATGGAAGAACAGTTAAGCAAAGGATGACCTGTCAAAAAACATCTGTCTGTGATGCAACTCTTGGATATAATATTTTTTTATGCCCCAACAGTTTCTTTGGGACCCTTAATATCCTACAGGCAAGTCTTGCAAGGTGACCCCGTTAAAATCTGGGCCATCTGGGGAAGGCAGAATTTGCTGGTTATCCTGCTGACAACATTAATTTCAGCACTGATTTTTTTCCATGGGAAGTGTTCGTGTCCCTGATACCGTTCACACTCAGGTGAAGGCTCCAGCCTGCACAAGAGAAAAGCAGTAAATAAAAGACCATTCTTCCGTGAGAGGTGAAAGTTCCCTGATGACCCAGTGGGAAGTGAGGGCTCCTGCCGTCGTTTCTGCTACTTTTTACAGATGGATAAAACCCAGAACTCAACACAACGTGCTTTTGGTCCAAATTCAGGCTTGACTGCTCCTACGAGATCAAATGAGACTTTCAATTTCTCTCTTCCATCTGGCCAGATGGAATTGGCACAGGCTCCCCTCCAGCCTCCCAGGACACCACATCTTACAATGAGACCAGACTGGAGTTGCTGCATTTGCCTCACATTTGCTTCTGTTGCTCCTGAACATCTCTGCAGAGAGCTTTGCCTTAGTCTTTCTGTGTTCTCCTTCTCTTGTTTGCAGCAGTTTCACTGATGTTTTCTAGGTCCTTACTCTCCTATTGCCTCCTGGTTTTCTACAAACCCATCAGTCCTCTGCTCTCCTGCATTCACCTTCTCCAATTTGTGCAATCAGGGATAATTATCCATGTTTTCAGTGCTCCTGAACAAACCCTTCTGCTCCCTGTGGACTTGAGGAGCGACTGTGGGCCCAGGCCTGTGTTCTGCTGCTGCCCTGTGAGCTCTTGGCTCTTCACTGCCCTTTGGATGCAAGCAGGAATTTTATTCTTTGCTCAGTCAATGTCAAGAAAGGCGTGATTTACCCTCACCCTGCCCTAGCTGGGATTTGAGGGCTCTGCATTCATGAGTCCAGGTCTGCAGTTTAGGAAATGGTCCATTTTACTGGGAAGCACAATTTTCAAAATGAGACGTGGGCCTCCGAGTCTGCTCTGTGTCCCCTTCCCTTTTTAAGTTTAATTCTAAATTGGCAATAAGTGTGTCCCAACTGGGGGCTGAGTCCTGGACAGAATGACTCCAACAGACACAGAAGTTCCTGTCTGGACAGAGGAAAACTCAGAGGAATGAAGGAGAAGAGAGACATGGTTTTCCTGACTCCCCGATGTGTCAGGATGCTGCACAGCCACCCATTCACGGGAACTTAATGGTGGACAGAGGAATATTTAATTTATGTTTCGGATAAACTCTTGGACAGACACTTTTCCGTCCTGGAAAGAATCCAGCCCCTGTTTCTTCTCCCCTTCATCTCTCGTCATCCTCCCCTGGCTGCCCCTCCCGGCCGCACAGACACGCTCTCCTTTCAGAGAGTTACTGACCAGAAAATTGGCGAGGGCAGGAGCCCGGGGGGGAGGATAATCCCGCTGCGAGGCTTCCAGCCCGCGCTTACCTCCGGCTGACCCCGGGCTGGCACGGGCAGGGAGGCAGGTGGAATGGGAAAGCAATCCCTGCCGCCCCAGGCTGCTGGAGGCAGCAGGGCAGGATTCCTGCCACTGGACACAGGGAAGAGGAGATTTATGATGACAGAGGAACTCAACACGCCCTCCTCTTAATGAACTTTAAAGTAGGCAAGGCTGTGACATCACGCTCGGTGCAGATTTTTCCCAGGATTTATTCATGAGCGGATTTTTGCAAAACAAACCTTATCTCCAGATCTGAGTCACAGAGCTCCTTATCTGACCTTGGGAAAATCATTTCAGCTGGAGGGGCAGGCGCAGCATCCTCCGCTCCCAGAGGACTCGTTTAACTCCGGGCTTAATCTGCTAATGAGACGTGCCCCGAGGTCGGAGGGGAGTCCCGAGGAAGGGTTTTGCTGCTCATGGGCTAAGGCAAGGCTTTCTAACAGAGACCTGCGTTCCAAAAGCCCCAGTCCCGACTGCAGGGCCAAATCCCGACTTTCACCATAACACCAGTGAGTAAGAGTTATGCTTCTGACCACCGCAAAATCAGATAAAGCCACTAATTTATATAAACTGGTCTACACTGAAGCTGCTGTCAACCACAAAATACACACGCCATCAATGCCTCCAGAGGCTGAAGTGCATTATTGTGCATGACACGAGATTAGAGCTAATTTTACATTATTTACAAGGCCAGTTAACTTGTTTGGTCTGATTTTATTGCTAGCACAATTCAAGAACAGCAGCAAAGGAATGCTGCCCTTTTATATTGTCAATTATTTTGGCACTGTATCTTCAGCAAACCTGCTGTGCTAGAATTCATCCCTCCAGTGAGCTGGACCAGTGCTGGAAAGGTGTCCCACCACAAAAGCACTTCTGAGACTGAACATGTGCCATTCCTTAACACCCCCCTTGGGTTGTATGGGTTGTTTGAGTACAGAACTGTTCACTCTTAGGCTTTCCCAACACAAGGTGTGCTGTGAT